TCCCTGGGAATGAGCAAGTCGGGGAGCCGGGAGACGCCTCCTGGCCCACACCCCAAATCCCTCCTCAAATCCATCCCCTGACGCTGGCCTCTCGGGCCACCTCTGGGCAGTGCCAAGAGGGCTCTCACCCACAGACAGCCTGAACCTCCCAGATCCTCTACGCCTTTTTGCAAGACCCCCCCCCCTCCCACCCGCATACCCAGCTTGGTGTCAGAGGAGAGGCCCGGGAGCAGCCCTGACTATGGGGCAGGGTCTCCCATTTTCTCCGGGGCCTCCCCTCACAGGTGGCCAGTTCCAGCTTCTCCCTCTCCCGGTTGGGGGAGGAGGGGCTGAGGACTGGGCTTCAGTCCCCGTTTTGGGGCCTCACCCTGGGGCCTCCCGGCCCGGGCCCCGCCCCCTGTTCTCTGCTGGAACAGAGGAAGGGTGGCAGGGTTCCAGCTGCACGTCCCGAGCTGGGCAGGGTGCCAGGGGGCTGGAGCAGGGCCGGGCGCCGGGCCAGTGGGGGAGACTGTCCAGCTGGGGAAATCCGGAGGCAGCAGGGACGGGACAGCGGGGGAAGGGACGGAGGCCCCTGGGCAAAGGAGAGGGCAGGGCAGGGATCCCTCGGGTGGGCACACCTGCCAAGGCATTTAAAGAGCTCAGGCCCCTAAACCCAGGGTTCAAATCCCAGTCCCCCGGCGTCCTGGCTGGGTGGCCCCGTTCCAGCGACGGTCTCTCTGAGCCCCAGTTTTGTGTCCTGGAAAAATATCAGCCATGCATTCCCTCCCCCAGCCCTCGTCAAGTTCAAGAGCAGTGAGGGAACAGATCCTGGGACCAGGACACCCCCCTGGTAGGCAGTAAACCGAGTTCAGCTCAGACGGAGCTCTGGGTGGAAACAGGCAGCCTGGCTGTTAAGGCGGCGGCTGCTGCTGAGGGTGGTGTGGCCTCAGGCAAGTGCCATCACCTCCTGCTTGCTTTTCAGGGAAAATACTAGGAGCTTCAGGGTCCCACTAACTGAGCCGCCTAGAGCAGGGCTGGCCGTTGGTGGGTCCCCCGGGCCTGTGATGTCCCTGCAGCAGGAAGGTCACTTGCCTGTTGAAGGGGACTTACTGAGGTCTCCAGCTCCAGGAGTGCTCCGTACACCAACACTAGCGATAGTGTTACCATCGCTATTTTTTAGTCTTTCCCCGAAGTGCTCGTGCGCAAGTCCTGTAGGTGACTGTGCACACACCTCGCCTGGGAATGAGCACCGAGGCTCCCAGTGCCTCCTGCGCGCCAGCCTTCCATCTCTGATGTGGACAAAGGGGAGGGGGGTGATAATAATAATAATAGTAATAATAACCTTTCTAGAGCATTCACCACTTGACAGGCCCTCTTTTAAGCCCTTGAAATATATTAACTCATTTCATGTTTAAAAGAACCGTGTGGCCGAAACCGGTTTGGCTCAGTGGATAGAGCGTCGGCCTGCGGACTGAAAGGTCCCAGGTTTGAGTCCCGTCAAGGGCATGTACTTTGATTGTGGGCACATCCCCAGTAGGGGGTGTGCAGGAGGCAGCTGGTCGATGTTTCTCTCTCATCGATGTTTCTAACTCTCTATCCCTCTCTCTTCCCCTCTGTGAAAAATCAATAAAATATATTAAAAAAAAAAAAAAAAAAGAACCATGTGAGGCCCAGGCCAATGTAGCTCAGTGGGTTGAGCATCATCCCACGTACCCAAAGGTTGCTGGTTTGATTCCCAGTCGGGGCACATGCTTGGGTTGTTCCCCAGTCGTAGGCAGGCAGAAGGCAGCATCCATGTCCTCTCTCTCTCTCTCTCTCTGTCTCTCTCTCTCTTTCTCTTCCTCCCTCCCTCCCTCTCTCTCTTAAATCAATAAAAACATTTAAAAATAAATAAAGACAAGAACCCTGTGAGGTAGGTGTTGTCATTACGCTCGGGGAGGCTGTGCCGTTTGTCTGAGGCCACACAGCTCATTAATGATGTGTCCCTGCGGTAACCCTGAGCCGGAGGAGCGAGCCTGCTCTGTGCAGTGGGAGAGGCCGGGAACCCAGGCGTCTGCAAAGCCGCCGAGGGGCCCACACTTCCTGTCAGAGAGCCGGCTGGGAGCTGGGAGGAGGGTCTGCGGCAGCACCAGCTGGTTCCCTCTGCGGAGGGAGAAGCCGGCCATAGAGAAGGTTGCAGAGCCCAGCTGCCTGGGCGGTGGGGGCCGGCCTCACCCCGGTCCACCTCCCCCCTTCCCACTCCCAGTTCCTCCAACTCCGGGAGGCCCGCCCACCCCCGGGGCAGGATGACAAACAGGGCTGGAACCGAACCAGCACGGGACAGGACGGAATGTCCTCCGGGCAGAGCAGTACTGGAGGCCCTGCTCCCCCCACCAGCTGGGAGGGGAGGGATGGGGCCGTCGCTGGCTCCCTCCACCCCCCTCCGGGCCAGCGAAATCTTTGCCCTCCGCAGTCCACAGGACAGATCCTCCCCGCTCCTCCGCTGGTGTCTGTGGGTGGGGCTGCAGGTCTCCCGCTGGGGAGTGAGGTTGATGCTACCCCCAGAAGCGGCCTCTGGTTTCTAGGAAGGACCAGCCTCCCCTCTCCGAGGCCCGCTCCCCTGGGGTGGGTCACACGGCAGGAATTACTGGTAGAAGCACGAAGGCTTTGGAACCTACCTCCCTGCCTGAGTTCGAATCCCAGCTCTGCCAGTTTCTGGCTCTGTGACTTCTGGAGCACAGGAGCTCACCTTTCAGAGCCTCAGTTTCCCCATTGCGAAGTGGAGGCTTGCGCTGCCTCCTGCCTAGAGCTCTCCTAGGCGTGAATATGTACAGACAGGCAGAGTACTTAGTACAGTGCCGGACACAGAAACGCTTAGCAAATCATAGCTGCTTATCATTCACTAGAGGCCCGATGCTCGAAATTTGTGCAAGAGAAGGCCTTTCTCCCCCTGGCTGCCTACAGGGGTTCCCTATGGCACCCAGGACCCGGCTTCCCTTGCAGAAGGAGGCCCCGCCCACCCGCTGTAGCTCACCGCCCCGACCAATCACATCACACCTACCTTGGCTGGCCTGGCGCCAGTGGGCATCATAGTGTGGTCCCCGATGGTCGCCTGACGGTGGCCCACTGTTCGGCCACCTGGTCTAATTAGTATATTATGCTTTTATTATTATAAGATATTTATAATAATATTTATAATTTATTATTATCGCTATTATATTGATTTTTTTTACAGAGAGGAAGGGAGAGGGAAGAGAGTCAGAAACATCGATGGGAGAAACATCCATCAGAGCTGCCTCTTGCACGCCCCCTACTGGGGATGTGCCTGCAACCAAGGTACATGCCCTTGACCGGAATTGAACCTGGGACCTTTCAGTCCGCAGGCGGACGCTCTATCCACTGAGCCAAACCGGATAGGGCTATTATTGCTATTATAAATATAGGTACGATTATAGATGCTATGTGTAATGTACTCTACAACCTAAAAAAATAACAACTATAGCTGAAACCAGTTTGGCTCAGTGGTAGAGCGTTGGTCTGCGGACTGAAAGGTCCCAGGTTCGATTCCAGTCAGGGGCATGTACATTGGTTGCGGGCACATCCCCGGTAAGGGGTGTGCAAGAGGCAGCTGGTCGGTGTTTCTCTCTCATTGATGTTTCTAGCTCTCTATCTCTCTCCCTTCCTCTCTGTAAAAAAATCAATAAAAATATATATTTTTAAATTTTTTTTAAATAACAACTATAGAGTTTGGCTTGGCCAGTGTGGCTTAGTGGTTGAGCATTGACCTATGAACCAGAAGGTCAGGTTTGATTCCCAAAGCACATGCCCAGGTTGCAGGTTTGATCCCCAGTAGGGGGCATGCTGGAGGCCACTGATCCATGATTATCTCTCATCATTGATGTTTCTACCTCTCTTCCTCTTCCTTCTTCTTTGAAATCAATATATATATATATATTGAACTATAGAGTTTGGATTCAGATGGACCTGGAGTTTGACTTTTAAGACAGCGGTAGACACCGAGAGAAGCACTAAAACCTGGAGATAAACCTGGAGCCAGAGAGACAGAGAAAATGAAGTGTTAACGTCCCTGCTTCACTCCTTACAGGCAAACGCCCCCCTCTGTGCCTCAGTTTCCTCATCTGTTCGATGGGGATGTGACTTTCCTTCTAGGGTTGTCTGAGCTCTAGATGGGTTACTATTAGTCACCCACGTGGCATGTGGACTGACATAGTAGAAGCGGAATAAGGGACATATATTTCTTTTTTAAAATATATTTTATTGATTTTTTACAGAGAGGAAGAGAGAGGGATAGAGAGTTAGAAACATCAATGAGAGAGAATCATCGATCAGCTGCCTCCTGCACACCCCCTACTGAGGATGTGCCCACAACCAAGGTGCATGCCCTTGACCGGAATCGAACCCGGGACCTTTCAGTCCGCAGGCCGATGCTCTATCCACTGACCCAAACTGGTTTTGGCAAGTGACATATATTTCTAGCAGAAACATGCTCATCCTTCTACCCCGCACTCGACTCGCGGAATTCAGGCATTAGAAGCGGGCGCAAGGGCAGGGGGGACGGTTAGCTGCCGGCTGCAGGGAGGTTGGTTTGCAGCATCGCCCGCCCTGCAGGGCCCCTGCTGGTGGGGCGTTCCTGGACTTTGAGCTCTGTCCTCCCAGATTCTGAGGACTCAGCTCAGCTGAGGAGGGGAAGGTCAGGAGAGGTGGTTCTGGGAGGTTGGAGGGCAGGGGGTCTGGCTAGCTGCGGGCAGCTTCTCCCCGCTCCTTCCCTTCCCTGGCTCCGGGCCAGCTCAGCCAGCTCCCTCCCTGTCCCTCAGGCGGCCTCCCTGTCCCCCAGGCGTCCCCAGCCCCAAGCAGGGTGGGGGGTGGGGTGGGGGGAATAAACAGCAGATAAGTCTGGGAGGGGACCAAACGGGCCTGTGGGGCACCGGAGGGCAGATAAAGCGCGACGCCAGGAGCAGCCCCTCTGCAGAGCCCTTCCAGGCCCCGAGCGCTTCGCTTCGGGAGCTGCGAGTCCGCGCCCCATGTGGCAGCGCCCCGCGCGCCCGTCCCGTCCGCCGCCTTCCCTCCCCGGGGGGCCGCCCCTGAACGCCGCCCCTGCCCGCAGGTCCAGCGCGGAGCTGCGCAGGGAGAAGTCGCGGGACGCGGCCCGCAGCCGGCGCAGCCAGGAGACCGAGGTGCTGTACCAGCTGGCGCGCACGCTGCCCTTCGCGCGCGGGGTCAGCGCGCACCTGGACAAGGCGTCCATCATGCGCCTCACCGTCAGCTACCTGCGCATGCGCCGCCTCTGCGCCGCAGGTGAGCCCGCCCCCGGGAGTCCACCGCGGGAGGCCCCGCCCCCACGAGGCCCCGCCCCCGGGAGACCAGGTTCCGCCCCCACGAGGCCCCGCCCCCGGGAGTCCCACCGAGGGAGGCCCCGCCCCTGGGAGGCCAGGTCCCGCCCCCACGAGGCCCCGCCCCCGGGAACTCCCACCGCGGGAGGCCCCGCCCCAGGGAGTCCCACCGCGGGAGGCCCCGCCCCTGGGAAGACCCCGCCCCCGGGAGGCCAGGTCTCCCCCCCGGGCCCCGCCCTCCCCAGGCATCGAGGCCCCGCTCCCTGACGTCTTCCCTGCGGATCCCCAGCCCTCCTGGAACCCACTTCCCTGGCTCCCTTAGGTGTTCATCACTAGTGAGGCCCCACCCCCTGGAATGCACCCTTGGAAGCTTTGCCCCCTTAGAAATCTGCGGGATAGGAGGCGGGCTAACTCCCTAACGCTCCTCAGCCCTTAGGATTTGGGCTGCAGGTAGACTTCCTAGGCAGGGCCTCCTCCCCCTATAATAAATATCCCTGGGAGCTTCTCTGCACAATTTTTAATTTCTTGGGAAAGTCCCCCTTCCCCTCCCAGATCCCTAGTTCTATTGCTTGTCCCCAGAATTCCACTCTGCAGGAGGCTCTTTCTCTCTCTCTCTCTCTCTCTCTCTCACACACACACACACACACACACGCATGCACGCACACACACACACACACACACACACACACACACACCTAGGGTCTCCAGGGCCCTTGAAAAGATCCCTTATGCGGAAAGCAGAGTCATCCTCTCAGGCTCCGCCCACTACCTTTCTTTGCCCCCAAGAGCTTTAAGTGTCTGGGAGGCTCCGCCCCCTTAGAATGCTGTCACCTGGGCCTCTCGGCTCCTTTAGAACTCTGCCCACGGGAAAGGCCCTGCCCCAAGAATCCGGGGAATTTTAAGGAATTCTGACTCCCCCTAAGCCCTGGCCCCTCAGCATTCTGACCGCTTGGAATATCATGCCCTTAGAACCTGTCCCCCTGAGAGGCCCCACTCTCTGAGAATTCCAGTCTTCGGTGGCCCTGCCCTCGGGGTTCCAAGCTGCTGGGGGTGTCCCCCTCCCCTGGGGTGCCTGTAATGTCCTCTGAGTGAGGGAAGGCTGAAGGGAGCTGGCCCGTGAGGCCCATGGCTGACGGGAGATGCCCCCACCCATGCTGGCCTGGACGCCAGGGGAGTGGAACCAGGTGGGAGCAGGGCTGGAGCCCCTGGACGCCTGCTACCTGAAGGCCCTGGAGGGCTTCGTCATGGTGCTCACGGCCGAGGGCGACATGGCCTACCTGTCAGAGAATGTCAGCAAACACCTGGGCCTCAGTCAGGTGAGAAGCGCTGCCTGCTCTGTGCCTGGTCCGAGGAGGGGGTGCTGGGATACAGAGGTGACCGGGACGCCTCAGCCCTGCCTTGGTGGGGTCCGCAGTACAGAAGGAGCCTCAGAATGCTCAGGGCTGGGACGGGGCAGCCGAGGGGTCTGGGCAGGCCCGGGGAGGGTGCGTACCTGACCCCACCTGGAGAGATGGGGAATCAGATTTCTATTTTATCTATTTTTTAAAATATATTTTATTGATTTTTTAGAGAGGAAGAGAGAGGGATAGAGAGTTAGAAACATCGATGAGAGAGAGTCACCGATCAGCTGCCTCTTGCACACCCCCTACTGGGGATGTGCCCACAACCAAGGTACATGCCCTTGACCGGAATCGAACCTGGGACCTTTCAGTCTGCAGGCCAACGCTCTATCCACTGAGCCAAACCGGTCTCGGCTCTATTTTATTTTTTAAAATATATCCTGGAGGGAAGCGAGGGTTTCCAGGAGAAAACATCTGAGCTGAAACCTGTAGGACTTAAGCCAGACAAAAGGTCTGGAGAATGGATGGGGCCAACAAAGACTAGAAATATAGATAAACGAGGGAACAGAATATCCAATGACTTAGAGGTGAGGTAAAACAGCATTTTGGCCCTGGCCAGTGTGGCTCAGTGGGTAGAGTGTCGGCCTGTGGACTCAAGGGTCCCGGGTTGGATTCCAGTCCAGAGCACATGCCCAGTTGTGGGCTTGATCCCCAGTGGGAGGCGTGCCGGAGGCAGCTGATCCATGATCCTCTCTCATCATTGATGTTTCAATCTCTCTCTCCCTTTCCCTTCCTCTCTAAAATCAATAAAAATATATATTTTTTTAAAAAGAGCATTTTGGGAAATAAAGACATTTATCCTGGTTAGGTGCAGAGTACAATGGGAGAAGATGAGAGAAAATAGGCTAGAGGGGCCAGGAGGGGCAGAGAATTAGGGTCGTGAGGTTTAGTTTCAGGCCACTGGTGAGCCCTGGGAGGATTTTAAGCAAGAAAGGTTGTATTAAAGAGGGAGAACCATATTTCCATTTTACTTTTTGAAATATATCTTTATTGATTTCCGAGCAGAAGGGAGCAGGGGGGGAGAGAGAGATAGAAACACCAATAATGAGAATCATTGATCTGCTGCCTCCTGCACGCCCCCTACTGGGGATCAAGCTGGAAAACCAAGGCATGTGCCCTAAATTGGAATTGAACCTGGGACCCTTCAGTCCACAGGCTGATGCTCTATCCACTGAGCCAAACCGTCTAGAGCCAGATTTCTATATTAGAGAGACCCCTCTAAGTGCTGCACAGAGATAGAATGGGAGCAAGTGGAACTAGAGGCTGGGAGAGCCTCGGGGAGGTGGGTGGGAGAAGAAGAGTCGGAGCCTGAGGATGGGAAGTCAGACAAGAGACACTTGGGGAGTAGAAGGAATTTCAGCGAATCCCTAGAGCCGGCCGCATGAGAGAGCTACCATTTTGTCTCCTAGGTCCCAGGACAGGGCTTCATGCTGCTCCTTTTCCCTGCCTGCTACCCACTCTGGGTGCCAGTTTGTCCTTCAGCCTAACCTCTTGGGCTCAGAGAGATGGAAGTCCCCAGGTCCCAAAGCTAGAAAGTGGCAGAGTCAAGACTCAAATCCAGCAGCAAGAGGTGCTGTCAGCCCTGGCCGGTTTGGCTCCGTGGACAGAGCGTCGGCCTGTGGACTGAAGGGTCCCTGGTTCGATTCTGGTCAAGGGCATGTACCTTGGCTGCAGTCTCGATCCCCAGCAGGGGATGTGCAAGGCAGCTGATCCATGTTTCTAGCTATCCCTCTCCCTCTCTGTAAAATCAATAAAATATATTAAATCAATAAATAAAAGTAAATTATTTTTTAAAAAATGAGGTGCTGGCCAAAACCGGTTTGGCTCAGTGGATAGAGCGTTGGCCTGCAGACTGAAAGGCCCAGGTTCGATTCCGGTCAAGGGCATGTACCTTGGTTGCAGGCACATCCCCAGTAGGGGGTGTGCAAGAGGCAGCTGATTGATGATTCTCTCTCATTGATGTTTCTAACTCTATCCCTCTCTCTTCCTCTCTGTAAAAAAATCAATAAAATGTGTTTTGTTTTTTTTAATGAGGTGCTGTCAGAGGAGGGAGGTCTCACTCACCCTTATTCCCCATCGCTGCTGGGCTATGAGCTATATGGTTCCCTTTCCATCTGTGCCCACCGCCCCCCCAAACTCCCATCCCCTCACCCCCTCATGCCTGACCTTCCCCAACCCCACCCTCGGCCCTAGGCTCATTGCCTGAACTGGAAAAAGGAGCTGGGTCTTTGGCTGGCCAAACAGGTGGGATGTGAGTGGGGTCTCACCTCAGGGCCTTTGCACTTGCTGTCCTGCTTCCCAGAACACTCTGCTCCCCGGAGCCACGAGACCACCTCGCTGGCTTTGTTCGGCCACATTACCTCCTCAGAGAAACCGTCCCTGACTTACTGTCTCTGAAACAGCATCGCCCCAAAATAAATAAATACAATAGCATCCCTTCAGTCCATCGCCTTACCCTGCTTTATTTTTCCTTCGTGTTCCTTATTATATTATTTTGTAAATATGTGTTTTGTTTTGTCTACTGGGCCATCTTCCCTCACTAGCAGCAGCTCTGAGAGGCAGGGACTTTCTTTGTGGTCACTGTGATGAGGCCACACCTAGACCAGGGCCTGGGAAGCAATATGCTGGAGGGAGGGGAGCGGAGGGGAGGGGGGAGGGGAGGGGAGAGAGGGGAGAGAGGGAGGGAGGGAAGAAGGGAGGAAGTGAGGGAGGAAGGAAGGAAGGAAGGGAGGGAGGGAGGGAGGGGAGGGAGGGAGGGAGGGAGGGAGGGAGGGAGGAAAGGGAGGGAAGGAAGGAAGGGAGGAAGGAAGGAATGAAAGAAAGAAGGGATGGAGGGAGGGAGGGAGGAAGGAAGGGAAGAAGGGAGGGAGGGAGGGAGGGAGGGAGGGGGAGGGAGGGAGGGAGGGAGGGAGGAAAAAAGGAAGGAAGGAAGGAAAAAAGGAAGGAAGGAAGGAAGGAAGGAAGGGAGGGAGGGAGGGAGGGAGGGAGGGAGGGAGGGAGGGAGGGAGGGAGGGAGGGAAGAAGGAAGGAAGGAAGGGAGGGAGGGAGGGAGGGAGGGAGGGAGGGAGGGAGGGAGGGAGGGAGGGAGGGAGGGAGGGAGGAATAAGGAGGCTGCTGACACAGCCCGGGCTCCTGACTCAGGCTGGTGCTGGGCTGGGCTGGGAAGGCGGAGATGGGCCAGCGGCCTTGGAGAAATGCTCCCTCCGTGACGCCCTGCTCCCGCCCACAGCTGGAGCTCATCGGACACAGCGTCTTTGACTTCATCCACCCCTGCGACCAGGAGGAGCTCCAGGACGCCCTGACGCCCCGGCTCAGTGAGTGCCGAGGCCTCCGTCCCCCTCAGCCTGCAGGAGCCGAGGCTTCCCTCCTCCACTGGGATGCTGGGTTGAAAAACGCGGGAAGCAGCCGTGGCCCTGCCCTGGGGTGGGCAGGAGCAGGCCCCGCCTCGCAGGGGGCCGCTCTGAGTGTGGGGGAAGAGGCTGGAGACGGTTGGCGCCCAGGAGGCCGGAGGGAGCTGGGTGGGCCCTGTCCGGAGCTGCCCTGACCTGCCTCCCCCCCCCCCCCGCCCCTACGGCCCCCCCCCAGGCCTGTCCCAAAAGGAAGCCGGAGCCCCCCACGGAGCGGAGCTTCTCACTGCGCATGAAGAGCACCCTCACCAGCCGCGGGCGCACCCTCAACCTCAAGGCGGCCACCTGGGAAGGTGGGCAGGGCCTGGCAGGCGGGGGGCCTGGCTGGGGCCAGGCTGACCCCAGAGTCTGGCGGGGGTTGGAGTCCAGGGGACCCCAGGCCGAGGGTGCTGTGGGCTCTCTCAGAGCGGCTGGTGGTGGGTCTCTTGGGTGTCTCCTAGGAGGTTGGATGTCTGTGGCA